TATCTATATATAAAGTAGGGTTTTTAGGTTTTAAAAAAGGGGGAAATTAAGGCGAAGGTTTTAATTCCTTACTAGCTATACGGCCCTAATTGGCCAGCTTTTATACACCCTTTAGGTCCTTTATTACTTTCTCTACTATACAGCGCCACGCTTTAGTGCTCTCCCTCTGTATAGTTCTCTTCTTGCGGTTGCACTGGACACGGTACGATATCTAGTCCTCTATAGATCGCGACGAGCGCCACGTTCTATACGCCCTCCTAGTCTTATGCACTTCCTCCGAGCATTTTTCTGACTATGCCGGCGATGCCTGTTTTAATGGCCTTGCAATAGGCACCGTAGCAGCGATCGTGGCCTGTATGCATTTGTGGAGGAGGCGTGCGAATTCATCAAGGTCCTCCTCCGTGTCTTGAGGCGGGTACAGATTGTATTGCATGCTGTCTACACTACAACGAGAGGGCGCGACCCCTCTCACACGCTTTCCAGCCTGGCTGGAGGACTCTTGCCTAAGCTCACCTCCTAACCCGGCCTCGAGGACTCGGGTGGACAAAGCCCTCCTCCTACGCCCCTGCACCAGTTTGCTCCTTAAGCCCATATCATCCTCCTCTCCTTGCCTGTTTATGGACCGACACGCGCATCCGTCCTCTCGGGCTGTACAGACAGTGTCTGCTGTCGCTGCTATTGCACACCTCGCCTTACAGCTGACGCTGCTTCGCGATACCTTGTAGAGTCTCCCCTTTACAAGGCCGACCGTGTCTTGCAGGAGTTGTTATCCATATACCCCTAGCCAGGCAGCATACTTCAACGTTTCCCTCCCACTAACCAAGATGGAGCATCCATCTTCCTCCTCCTATCTGCCTGCTATGCCCGTCCTCAAGTATATCCAGCTGCTGCCCCAGCACTTGTGTCCACCCTGCGTGTCGTAGCCGGGTCGGTTAGGCGTCGTCGCCTCGCAGCGCGTTATCGGGATTGCATCTGCTTGGAAATTATTCGGTCTGTCGTCCTTCCTCCCTCTGCCTGTCCGGCGGACGGCTCCATTACCCCTACTATGCTGGCTGTGACCATCTCCCTTCAGGAGCTTCGGGCTTCCTCGCGTGCTGATGGGCGCCTACAGGCATTGCGTTGTCGATAGCTGCGAGCACCACGCTGTTTAAGGTCCTCCACTTAACCGCTATGAGAATGCTATCCCCTAGGCAAAGGCTGCAAGCACCACGCTGTTTAAGGTCCTCCAATTAACCGCCAATAACTCTGGTAACGCTGTAGGCACTGTAGATACCATTAGTTAACGAGAGCTTCGATAAAGGGGAGGGTGAAAACTCTGCATCGCCACCCCAGAGGTGTCCTGTCGTACGCCTAGGCATCGGCTCCACGTTCGGCTTGCTTCCTACACAAGTAGACATACGTCGGATGGTTTTCATACCCATTTTAATAGTTGTTCCTCTGTTCTGGTGATGCGGTTCGTTGTTGTCGTCGTCCGGTTAGAGGCCTTCGAACGGCCACAACGCCATTACTAGCTCTATCGTGCCTTAAGCATCTGCTCTGCTCACTACAATATAGGAGCAGGTTCGTAGCACCGCCTCGTACAGGCTGCTTGTCGGGCTTGCGGTGCCTCTAAAAGGTATATAGAAGCTAGCTAAATAGGGTAGAACTATTAGAAAGGAACTATAGCCACCGCCTTAATTCCCTTTTTTTTTTTTACAGCCTAATAATATAACACTCTATATAAATAATAAAACTAAGGCCTAAATACTTATAGAATAGTTCTTTCTACTTTTTATAGAGGCAGACCTTTCTAATATTAAAGAATACTAATACCTAAAGCTATATAAGTTCTTATAAAACGTTATAGTAGAAAATATCCTCTCCGCGCTAATAGAAATAGCCCCGGATAAGGCCCTAGGTATTATAAAAATAACTAATAGAATTCTTAAAAAATGCGAAACGCAGCTAGTACTAACGCTAGCTAGGTTTTTTACTAAGTACGTGTATATAGGGCACTACCTACAGCTATATAAAGAATTAATTACTATAATACTATATAAGCCTTAGAAAGTATTCTATAATATAGTAAAGTTATATAGGCTAATTATACTGCTAGAAATAGTAGGTAAGCTACTTAAACGTATTATAGTATAAAAACTATCTAAAATAGTAGAAAAGAAAGGTATACTCCTACTAAGCTAAATAGGCGTAAGGCCCGAATAATCTATATAAATAGTACTAGAACTTTTTATAGAATAAATATAAACTATATAAAAGGGTAACTTTTACTTTATTACCTTTCTTTTTAGCCTAGATATTTTAAGGGCCTTTAATAGAGTATTTTATAAGAGAATAATATATAACCTATAGGTCTAATATATACCGGAATAAATAGTCTAATTTATAGAATTATTTCTATAGAACTAAACTATAAAACTTTCTATTAGAAAATATATTACTAAAACTATTCTAGTTAATACAGGTATACTATAAGGATTTTTACTTTTACTAATTTATTTTTTATTTTTTATAAGTATACTTCTACTAGTACTATAAAAAGGTAATATAACAGCCTATAGGTTTATAAATAATACTAATATTCTTATATTTAGTAGAAGTATAGAAGAAAACTATAGGGTAATTAAAAGTGCGTATATATAGTATATAAAGTAGGCGAAGAAGTATAGTATAGTATTTACCCCGGATAAGTATTACTTTATATACTTTATAAGGCGCTATTTAAATACGGTAAATATAAAGGCTATAGTAAATATCTAAGGCTTTATAAAAGGCCTAATTATAAAGCTCTATATACTTAAAGTTTAGGTAGACTTTAAACTTAAATAGGGCCCGTATATACGTATTATAAAGGAAAAGGCTATAGTATAAATAGAAGCTTTTATATAGCTAATAGTATTAATATAAAGCGTAAGCTTCTAAAAAGTATAGTATATATACTTAGCAGTTATTAGGCCGGTTCTTATATATAGGTATACTACCTAGTTTCTAACGCTAAGTATAAAGAAATAAATTAGTAAAGCAAAAATTAAATAACTTAAAATAGCCTAGAACTACTTTCTTTATACTATTATAGGGGCGTATAAAATAATAGATATTAAAACGCTTAAATATAAAACCTTTTACCCTTTTTTAAGGCTTAAGCTAGAGGAACTTATAGTAGTATATATAAACCGCATACGCGCAGGCTAGGCTAGAAAGTATATTAAAACTATATACCGTACTGTTAAAAATACTATTAGAAAATACTATAAGCCTAGGAAAACGCCTAAATATAAGCTAAGCCGGCGTAATATACTAAAAAGGCTCGCGGTTAAGGCTATAGTACTAGCCCTAAGGTATAAAAGGCAGTTAAATAACTTATATAAGCTTTTAAAATAAAAAGCAATATAGGAAGTATATAAGGAAAAGTAGAAAAATAAATAAAAGGCCTATAGAAAGAAATAAAAAGGCCTTTCTACGCCAGCCCTTAATATAAAATAGAATAAAAATTAGGTAACTAAATACTATAAGCTTATAAAAGTAGAAAGCTTAATTATTATACTTTTATAAATAGAATATATAGGGCTTAACGTATACCTGCACTATATAAGGGTGCCTAATTACTTTTTACCTATATACCCCTGCAGGTATATACTATAGTTTCTAAAGTATATAGTAATATACTATAAATAATACTATAATAGTAAAGGTAATATATTTTTTAAGGCTAGAATAAGAATATATATATAGCTATATAAAAACTATAAGGGAAATAAAGCCGTTTTATAATAGTTCCTATACTAAATAGACCTTCTACTCTACCTTTCTATAGCTAGAAAAATAGTAACGGAAAAGCTAGCTATATAGCTAGCCGACTTATATAGCTACGCCCTAAAAATAGAACTATATACACGCACGTATATTATATAACTATAGGCACGCCTGTAATAGGGCAACCCTTTTAATTTCCTATTATCCTTTAATTTAATACCTTAGCTTTTAAGAAAAAGGGCACGCGCGTATAGTAAGGGCACGCGCGCCCTAACACGGACCCCGGACCTTACTAACCTTCTGGACACCGTATAACCCTAGAACCTAGGGCCTACGGACACCGGATTAATCCTAGAAAATATATTAAAATAGCTTACTCTATAGTAATACTTACAGAGCTACCACGCGTCCCCTACAGCCGCGCAGAAATAAAAGGAACGCAAGGCGTTATATACTATAGAAAACAAGGTTTTCACCCGACTGCTATAGAGCGAACGGTTTCCCCTTATAAATAAAACCTAGATAGCACTGCTGTATAAACCCTAATAGGAGCTAAATCGGCCTAATAGAACCTAATAATAATAATATATAAGGCTATATAAATTAGAAAGGCTATATAGCCGTATATACGGCCGTATATAAGGCTATATAAATTGAAAAAAATACGCTGTAAAACGGAGAGGCAGTATAGCTATATTAATTTATATAGCTTTATATATAGTAACACGTATAAGCTTATATACGGCCTTATATATAGTATTATATATATAGAAACGTAAAGGTAAATACCTAGAAAAAGCTCCGCGCTGCTCTAAGCTAATTAGAAGGCGGTAAAATAATAGGGTTAGAGAAGGTGTATAATTACTTAAAAAGGGGTATATAATTACTTATTATAGAGGTTCCCTTTAAAAGTTTCTGCCGCGCTAAAAACGTTATAGCGCACGCTAGACGTTAGCCTACGCTATAAACCGTCTAGCCCCTTCCTATACGGGCCTAGCGCCAACGAAAATCCGCCACGTTAATGCTAAGAAACCCCTCCATCACCTGTACACTCTACTTTCTAATTTAATTCTCGTCCACTACTATGCTAATAAACTATATACGACAATACTACAAGGGCGCAAGCCCTTACGCTTAAGGCTATAAATATTCCTTCTAACCAAATTACTGCCATTACTGGCATGTTAGAGCGCACGATTCGGGACGTTTAGAAGAGGGCTATAGATCGCGGCTGGAACCCCTAACAATCGCTTAAAGTTCTTAATATATACGTGCAAGATGCACCTCGCTCTGGCCGGCCGACTGTACAAACCCTAAGGAAGATTGCAAAGATAGAGAAGTTAATTACTAAGAGCAGAGCTGGAAGGGAATTAAATACTTACCAGCTTACAGAAGAGGTGGGAATCTTAGCCACGACTGCATGGCGCATTCTTCGCCGCCACCTTAATATGCGGAAGACAAAACCTATATAGAAACCTGGGCTATAGAAGTAGATAAAGCAGGAACAATTACAGTAGTGCCTTAACTATTAACACTGGACTCTTAAGGACTAGAAGAATGTTATCTAGAGCAATAAGACGGCCTTTATAGTTAGCCAGCGCCGTAGAGGATATTATATCTAGTGTTGGTTAAATAAACAGTTCTTGCGCATAATAATATAAGAACGCTGGAAAGGATACTTAGAGTTTATATTCTGGGGCTGCTTCTCTTATAATCGCAAGGGCCCTTGCTATATCTAGCACCTAGAAATAAAGGCTGAACGCGCTGCAGTAGATAAAGATCTCGCCGAGCTTAATAAAACTATTAAGCCTATTGCACGGGCAGAGTGGGAGCTAGAGAATCCTCTATCGCGCCTTAGGGCAACACGCAACCGCCCAGGCAGAAAGCCCTAGTAGCAGTTTACACAGGATACTGGAAAGCTTATAAAAGGCAGTAGAACAGGCGTTAATTGGTATCGCTATAAGAAGGAGATCTTAGAGAAGAAGCTTATCCTATTTGCCCAGCACTGCGCGCGCGATTGGCAGGGTACAATTGTACAGGAAGATCGTGCTCCTGCGCACGTACATCATTACCAAGCAACTGTCTACGCCGCTGCTAAGGTCTAATAACTTCTCTAGGTTGCAAATTCCCCAGATCTCAACGCGATAGAGCCTGCCTGGCCTTACCTTAAGCGCACAACTATAAAGAAGGGCGCGCCAAAGTCTAGGGCACAAGGAGATAAGCGGTGGCGGCAGAGCTGGAAGGATATGGAGCAATAGCGCTGCCAGGCCTGGATTTAACGGATTCCACGATATATCCAAGAGATAATTAGGCTTAAGGGCGGCAATAAGTATAGAGAGGACGCTATGGAGAAGACTCGCTATTTAAAGCGCCCAGATAACTGGGCAGATGTTAATAATAACAACAATAACGACAACAACGATAACAACAACGACGACGACAATAATAACTAAGTAGATGTTGATAACAATAAAGGCACTAAGGACGCTGAGCAATTACCAGAGGCTGCATTAAGGAAAAAGAAATATAAGGAGCGCGCAGAGGCAGAGCGCCTAGTGGCCCTGACATCTTCAAGACTAGCAGGGCATTAAAAACAGAGCAAAACCCTGCCAAAATCTCGAAAACGAATGCTCGTACGGTCAGGTTCATATCTGCAGAAAATAACCCGTTGGCTGCACAAACGGAGCTGCCATATAGCCCACCTGGCGCGCCGCGCCGTACGCGCTCAGCTACTAGGGCAGCAGCGAACCAGACTTATTAAACTGGTGGAGCTATACTAAATATACGAGTCTTAGAGGGGGCAGGAGAGGTTATTAAGTAGCTATATAGTTGTGTGCCGAGCTGGTGGCGTATTAAGGCTTAAGCCATATTTTTTAGCGCGGCAGAAACTTTTAAAGAGAACCTCTATAGGGGGTGTACAATTATCTGTCCCCTATAGAATTTATTTATTTAGCTAATTCTATATATCTATTTATCTATCTATCTATTTACCCTTACTATAGGCTTAGATTTTAGCAGATTATAAAATAGGCACTAGGCCTAATTAGGTAATAGCGTATAGTAGGTATAGTAATATTTTAGGCTAGATTAGGCTTAGTTTTAGAATAAGCCTAATTATTTTAGATAAGCCTAATTATCACCCCTCCTTTTGCTGTATATCACCCCCCCCTAGATTTAGCCTAGCTCCGCCCTATAATAACTTTGTTCCACCAGTTAAACTATAACTTAGGCTATAATTATATTTAGTAATAGTTTTTAATTTACTAATATAATACTAGATCTCTCCGCCGGATAAGCAGGCACCCTAACAGCGACCTAAGGCTCTATTTCCTTAGTCCCTAACAGTTAACTAGCCCTTAAGAATGGTTCTTTGCCTACTTCTAAGGAGGAGGCTGTTCGTAGTAAAGGAGAATTATTAGGTGTAAGACCTTAGTATAACAGTGTATACGGCTTTCCTTTTAATTAGCAATTAATAGGTGGCTATCTAGGAGCTTTCCGCTTCTAGACTAAATAGAGTATATAGAGTGAATACATCCTTTCCAATTTGTACAAGCGGTAAGTAAGTGAATAGAAAGGAGCCTCTATTAGGCGATGTTTTAATAATTTCGGCATCCTCCTATGCACATCGGCACTGCGCGTATAGCTGTACGTGATGCCATAAGTAATGCTGTATGTAATGCCGTGATGTAAGGATTATAATAGCATAAGCGTTATATCCCTATGCATAAAGCTCTCAAAACAACTAAAACTATGCACGCTCGAACGTGATATAGTAAACGTTTTGAACAGGAAAAGTGAGATAACGTTACAGAAGCGTTAGAGGACGTTTCACAATGCTATACGTATGTATATATGTGCAACTCCGCTGCCGTCGATGTAAAGAAGAACTTAAGCAATACAATTCTATCTATCTATCCATACAACTCTGTTCTATCTCTCTCTGCATCGACTCTATACCTTTAACACGTGAGTGATGCTGTACATAATGCTATATATATGGCCATACGTACGGCGTTTCTTATACGGCCTCACGTACGGCTATATAGCCATGCCGATTTGTACAGCCTCACGTACGAGCTCACATACAGCTGTATATACAGCTGTGCGAATTGGAAAGAATGCGCCGTAGAATGGAGAGGTTGTATAGCCATGCCGATTCGTATAGCCTCACGTATAGCCTCACGTATAGCCTCACGTACAAGCTCACATACAAGCTCACGTACAAGCTCACATACGTCCTCGCGTATAGCATCACGTGTAGAGAGACGTAGATGTGAGTGCCCGGAGGAAGCTCCGCGCTGCTCCGAGCCAATCAGAAGGTGGTGAAGCGCCAAGAGGAGGGGGGAGTGCGTGTGCGTGGAGTGATTAGGGGGTGTATAGTTAGTAGCCCCCTTTAGAGGAGTGTGAGACGACGTAGCGAAAAGCCTTGCAGAGGGAAACTAGGGAAGGAGGAGAGCAAATGAAAGTCTAGTGCTAGAGGCATAGCGGTCAATTTCTGTGTGATTCGATACATATACCACCAGCCGTCCCAGCCAAATAACGTCGTTCATCCCCGAGCGAGAATTACCCACCAACAGGAATTGGGGAGGATTTGAGGTGCTAGTCTATATTCTTCTAAGCGTGACCAAATCTGCTCGCGCAACACTCGATCAATTCTCGGTGGTGGGCGATTCTCGCTCGTGGGTGAACGAAGTTATGCCGCCTGAATGTGATTTGACCAATCCATGGGCAAAAACTGAGTGATTCCGGGTAGATTTGCCGTTCAAGCTAACCACATTCGGTCTAGCGCGTCCCGGTGTCATCACTTCGAGATGCACCTCGATTCTCTATCGATCGGCTCTTCGACGTACGGAAACCATGTCCTCAGACCTGTTTGCTGCTTTTGCCCCTCAGCCTGCATCGGCTACATCGCCTTCTACTTCTGACGCAGATCGGGCGGCGGCTTCAGGTCCGCACGCTCCTCCGCAGTCATCGCAGCCTTTCAGTTTCTTCGACGATTTGGGTGCCCCAGAGGCGGGAAGGGGCAACGCTCAGAGCCAGACAGCTCCGAAAGCTTCGAAAGATGGCTTGATTTGGTCTTCATTCGAATCAAGTCGACCAAAAGATGTCCCTGCTGTTAGCGAAGACGGAGACGATTGGGGCGATTTTGAGGGCGCTCCCGAAGCGCAACCCTCTCCGTCCATGGCCGCCGGATCTGGCTCCCAGCGTGCGTACAGATTAACACAGAGACCTGAGCCTTTGGCAACCCCCGTTGCGCACAATGCCCACATAGTGACGGCAAGATCGGAACAGGGTGTTGGCTTTCCAGTCATCCACGGGCTTCCGTCTGCGGTCACGTCCCGACCAAGTTCTCAAAAACCTACCCGAGCAGAGCCTACGCAGGCCTTCACGAACCAAGATTTATCTGGACGTGGCCTCAGTGTCTTGTTTGACGCCACAGAGCTTGAAGCAGGAGACGATGATTTTGGCGATTTTGAAACGCCAGTGGTCCCCCATAGTACAGTTTCTGCTGACGCGAGGATTAATCCGTGGTCGAACCAAGCAAACCAACCAATCTCTATAGCTGTCTTGGATACGCCGTCTGCTTCTTTCAAATCGATATCTCAGCCCTCGCCTACCAAACAAGAAACTCAGTCCTGGGACGAGTTCGCTGAGTGGGATGAAAACTCTCCCAAGGCCGCAAATGATACCAGCAACACAGTGGACACGCCTGTGCTAACTTTTCCGTCTATGATGCCATCCTCTAATTCAGCCTCGTCCGATAACGAACCACCACCTACAAACATACCACCACCCGGGGTGCTTCTAAGTCTTTTCCCGTTGCTTTTCTCCGAAGCTCAAACCCAGCTGTTCAAACCCATGGCTGCGCAGACCTACCAAATGAAGAACAGAATCCTATCGGACCACACCACAGTAGGTTTTCTCCAAGGTTATCTAGCGATAGCTACGGTAGCTGCTCGCGTTATTGCTGGCCGAAAGCTACGCTGGAAACGCGACGCGCATCTCGCTCAAGGAATGAGAGTGGGGCCGGCTTCGTCGCGAGCTACATCAGGGATGAAGCTAACGGGCATCGACAAAAGCGAGATGAACAAGGAAGAAAGAGAAGTGCTGGACGTTGTTCGCGCATGGAAGGATCAGGTAGGCCGGCTCAGATCAGCAGTTGCAGCCGCGAATGCTATCAACCCGGGCTGTCTGGGACCTGTTCCAGACATCCAAGAAGCGATGCCTGTGAAGCTGCTGAGCGAAGCTGACGGAGGTGTGCCAGCCCCTAAGCAATGTGCCTTGTGTGGCCTCAAGCGCGAAGAGCGTGTCGCCAAGGTAGATGTCGCTGTGGAGGACAGCTTCGGGGAATGGTGGGTAGAGCAGACACGGATGCATCGAGGTAAGATGTGGACCTAGACTCAGGAGATTGGTGGTTGACATAGACAGGCTGCAAGAATTTCTGGGAGAAGAATAAGGATGTTCTCCGCCAACGCTGAACCTTCAGTCCTGGATACACGAAGCCCGTCACAGAAGCCCTCGTAGAGCACTTTACGTTTGAGGGCTTAGGGTCTACGGATCGGTGCTTCAGTCGGCTGAAGTTAACCCGGTCATTCAACTCGTCTGCCAATCTTCGACCCCACATGCGCAAGGAGAGTCCCTTTGCTTGGTAGCACTAGATCCGGCATTGCACGATCGCTCTAAGTATGGAGTGTAGAAAGACGGCATTCTCGCTTGCTGGATGATTGCGGATATGGTCTATGGCGGATATGATCTACGCTTCGGCTTTGGTAATTGAGTTTCTACCTGGAGACTGCTCTGGACAATAGATAATATGCTACCCGCGGCGGAGACGGGATAAAATGCTTCGGGCGTTTGATGCTACTGGTGTTTTCCGTTCACCAGCGAGCCCGCAGTGCTATTTGGCGGACATTTGGCTGTCCGAAGTGTCTGCTCGCCAGGTTACAGAACTGGCGGGCAGCTTGAACGAGACCATAATGGCGTATTGGACAGACTGCTTCGGCGTGCGGGTGACTGCGATTTTGCGAGCCGTGGACGGAGCCAACTTCGAGACTCGGCTCGATTGCCCCGCGCCAGAGTCGACCACGTCGGTCAGTCAAGCGTTGAATATCCCAGCCTCCAGCGCCGTCTGCGCCGCTGACTACTACTATCTACTGCCGACAAGTACACCACCGCATGAGGTCGCCGCCGCCCAGCTCCCTCTCGAAGCAAGACGTCCCCGCCGTCTACCTGGAGACGTGACTTCGTCCTGTTCGTCTCTCGTCGACCGCGGCTTCACCCCCCTTCCCCCCCATCCCGCTCTCCGTCGCTGCTTTCTCCGCCCTCTCAACCCTCTCTCGGGTGCCGCTGGCTGCCCCAACCGTCGGGCATCGTCCCCAGCCAGAACTTCACTACTCCGGCCTGCACCCAACCTCCGAAGCCCTTCGCCGCACCTCCTCGTGACCACCGAGTGACCAGAAACCGCTCCTCCCGCCCCGGCACGCGCTGGCCTCCGTCAGCTATCCCATGGTAATGAGCAGGCCAAATGATCATGGTGAGCATTTTCTAGTCCCCACTCGATAAGACATTCATGCTGCTCGATGCGCCCGACGACCTGCAAAGGAACCACCATATCCACCCGAACATACCATTCCCACTATGGCTTTATTATCGCACATCGATGAGTGCGACGATTTCTGCTGCTGTTCCCGTTCACCGAATGGCAGCATGGTTCTCCACACACTACTCACGGAGACCAATACCGAACTCATGGCTAATCATTCTCTTTCTCCAGGCCCGCAAAATCATGACTCTCAACCAGCCTCGCACCTTACGCAGCGGTTCGTCACGAACGAGATCATCCTCCCCAAAAATAAGAGCACCAGCAATCTCCTGTCACATGCCTCGAGCTCCGGAATCACCATAGATACATTGCGACCTCGAATGTCATTAGATGCAGGATCATCAGATAAAGTAGCGAGGTACGCACATGTTCAGTCGACAACTCTGTCGCTAGAACAATCCCCACAGCTACCGAAGGCATTGCGCTAACAGTACGGATTGATCAGGTCCCCAATTGTCCCGGAACATGAGCATGGCCTTGGAGCGTCCGGCCTCCGTAGAATACGCCAGCAACCTTTACCACGACCACTATCTGGACACAATTTCGGTGCTCAGCCGAGATCTGCGTCGTTGAGCCTCGCCCTTCCAAGATCGCGAAACCCATCGGCATCCCTACAATCTGGTTCTGCATCGCCCACCCTCAACTTCAGTGAAGACCTGTCTAGATTTCCCTCCGAGTCGTTACACTCGTTCTCATTCGCCCATCAGTCGGAAGAGTTCATCCACAGTCGGCAAAATGTCTTGAAACGGTCTATAGATTTTATGCGTGACAGACTTGGCTGGGCGGCGAGCAACCCCGGATTGGCCAATGCTCAAGCGAAGTTGAGCGGCGACCAAGAAGTTCAGAGCATGATGGAACTACTCACTAGAGCGAACTTGATAGGACAAGATGCGTCCCGAGCGTACGGCTTGGGCTCCAAGGGACCCCTTACTGGACCACCAGACATGTCCGGGGAAAACGTCTTCGCCAAAAGCTTCCTGCCAAGGTCTGAGAGCCCGGACAGCTTTGACGATGACGTTTCTCCTAGGGCCGAAAGAAAGGCAGAGTCGATCCAAGAAGCTAGGCTCTTACCATCCGAAACTTCTAAAGCAACACAATCCAAGCTTGTAGACTCGGCTGGACTTTCCGGACACCATACATTTGGATCTTCAGACATGGTGGAAGCGCCTCCTCCGCCCTCTCTATCCCCTCGAGCTGCGCTGAAACGAACACTAACGGACACCGCTCCGCTCACGATCCAAAGCCAACTGAACGACGCCATGGCACAGCCCTACCTCATCGGCGATCAAGGACCCAGCAATCATCTTGCATCACCTACAGGCGTTCCCCCGACATCCCACCCCAATATGTCGGGGCCGCATAGTGCAGGGCCTGCCCCCCATGGACATGGAAGCCGGTGGGCTCCAGCGGCCCAAGCAATATTTACCACCGAGGCTCAAGCCCCCTGGACAATCACCGCCGCGAATGACCTAGCATGCCTAGTATTCGGGGTAACCAGAGCCGAAGTACGAAAGTTGGGAATTCTAGAAGTGGTAAGAGAAGAGCGGAGAAAGTGGTTGGAGGATAAGCTAAAGAATCCGGAATCCGGATCAAAGCCGTCACGAGAGCCTTACAGCCAAAGTCAGCGTACGAGTCCAACTCCAACGACTTCTTTGAATGTTGGCAATGGTGTGACCGCAAAACTACTCAGCAAACCTCCTTCTCGGCAACTCCAGCAGAGCAGGAGATCCAAGACCGATGATGGCAGTGGGGCGACATTTGCATCGAAAAAGAATGTCAAAGGGGCTTTGAACCATGCTTCAAAGGGATCGAGGGGTGTTCTGCTATGTGGCGACGTGGTTCCGATCCAGAAACGCAACGGTGCCCTTGGATCAGCTAGTCTATGGGTGAAAGAGAAGCGCGGTGGCCTAATATGGGTTCTGGAGGAAATTGCTGAAGACGTTGTCTATGTTAGCGTAGATGAGGTGGGGTGCGTGACGACAGGGCAAGGAGCCGTAGAAGCTGTCTGGGGAACCGAAAGGTTGCGAAGAGGAATGGACATCAAGCGACTGATCCCAGCAATACCAAGGCTTGCAGGAACCAACACGGGTGCTCTGGATTACGAAAAGATCGCGCAAGTTAAAACTTTCACGGCTAGGACATCCAACAGCATCAATATACCCGTCACTGTGGAACAACTTTCCGGCGAACCAACTTTCAGGGTGTCAAGCTTTCCGCACATTGCCGGCATCATAGTTCTCTCTGCGTCGAGTCTGGCAGTGACGAGCTCCAATACAGTCTTCTCATCCGCCTTATTTGGCCAGCCAAAGCCGGATGGACTTCACATTACGGAGCTAATCCCTGGATTCGATCGGATCCTGCACGTCATGACCGACGAGGACAAGATAGAGTTGGTGGATGGGATCGTAATTCCGGAACACAGTTTCCGGCGCGCCAGAGCCCTTTTGGCCATGAGGGAAGGCAAGGCGGATGCTGCTGCTGTCTTCCTTCGACCCAGCGGTCTCCCAGCACGGCACTCGGATGGTGCGGAGATCATGGTTGACGTACAAATGAGGGTTGTTAAAAGCGAAAAGTCGAACATACGTTATGGCGACCATATCATCACAGAAGAAGCCGAATCACACGAGAGCTCGCCGTCGCCAGAATTAGTCTATGCCCTGTGGGTCACGTATTCGAGGCATTTGCATGCAACAAACCATGGCACTGGACCAGTTACGCCCCTTGTATCTCGGCCTGGAACTCCGCCACGTCAGCCTTCACCTGGACAACCTTTGAGCGTCGTGAGCCCCCAAGACATGGACACGGACGAATCCAAGCAAGACCCAGTCCATGTCTCGCTTCTTACAAAGCAATTCCAGGAAGCAATGAAACTGCCGGTATCTATGACCCCCAAGGACAAGGAAGTTGCCGAAAACGTCGAGACCATGGACCCACCGAAGAAGAAAACTATCAACGACTTTGTTGTGTTGGAAGACATGGGACAGGGTGCTTACGGGCAGGTCAAACTGTGCCGATACAAGAAGAACAGTAGTAAAAAGGTAGTCATCAAGTACGTGACGAAACGTCGCATTCTCGTTGATACGTGGACAAGAGATCGGCGGCTCGGGACGGTGCCTCTTGAGATCCATGTTCTGGATTATCTGCGCCGAGAGGACTTCAAGCATCCGAACATCGTTGAAATGTCGGACTTCTTCGAGGACGACATCAACTACTACATAGAGATGGTACCCCACGGTCTCCCCGGCATGGACCTCTTTGACTATATTGAGCTGCGCGTCAATATGGACGAGGATGAATGTCGGCAAATATTCGTGCAGGTCGCCGAGGCTATTCACCACTTACATACGAAAGCAAAAGTGGTCCATCGCGATATCAAAGACGAGAATGTCATCCTTGATGGGGAAGGCAATATCAAGCTAATCGATTTTGGAAGTGCGGCATACATCAAGAATGGGCCCTTTGATGTTTTCGTTGGAACTATAGGTGAGCGCTACAGTTGTAAGAGACATAGTTATTCGAGCGACGTTTTAATATTTCGTAGATTATGCCGCTCCGGAGGTCCTTGCTGGCAAATCATACCGCGGCAAAGAACAAGACGTTTGGGCACTTGGCATTTTGCTCTACACTATCGTTTACAAAGAGAACCCCTTCTACAGCATTGACGAGATCATGGATCACGATTTGCGGGTCCCGTATATTATGAGCGAGGAAAGTATCGAATTGATCAGGCTGATGCTAAATCGCGATGTCGATAAGCGCATCACCATCACTCAAGTGTTGGAGCACCCGTGGTGTAGATTAGGGGCCTAATTACGCCTGCAGGACAAAGCGTGGGCCCATTCAGGGCGCTATAAAGCCTAGACGAGAGCTATTTATACGACTACGATCTAAGAATAGCGATTTATTATTAAGTGATAAATCGCATAGACGTTAAATCTAGCGAGCATTTAGGGACTCGGAGCGAGCATATAGATCTGCTTAAAAAGAACTGTTCGAGATTTTTATAAGGCTGCCTGTTTAAATAGATATATACTTTATAGAAAAGGGCTTCTATTTATTTATACACCCCTTTTCTATTCTATATATATACACCCCCGTATATTATTACACGTATACGCCCTTTTAAAACGCCCTAATAGTAAATCTAAAACTAAAAGTAATAAACTATAACTATAGAAATTATATAGAGATTAATATTATAAAATAATATAATAACCCTAAAGGAAAACTAATAAGTAATAAAAAAAGGCTAAATAGATACTTATTAGGCCTTAAACGGCCTTTTCCTTTATTTTATAAGCGATATTTACCTATAGTTATAAAACGTTATATAGTTATATAATAATTAGAAAAGCGTACTAGCAGCTAGCGCTAAACGCGCTAGGAACCTATTTCTAGCAGCTATACTTTTAACCTTTTTTTTTTTTTATATTATAACTTCTATAGTATAGTAATATAACCTTTTCTAATTACTATTTACTTATTAAGTTTTTATACTTTATAATACCTTTTATAATATCTACTATTTTTATAAAAACTATATTTAGTAATTTTAGCTACCTTTAGTAATTTTAGCTACCTAAAAACCTAGTTTACTATTTTACCTATTATAATAAGTTGCTATTACTATAATAAACTTAAAAAAAGGCGTTAACTCTACTAATTCCAGCCGTACTTTTTTAGGTATATTTAGTAAAGCTATTAAAGTATTTAGCTCTATAATATAGTACCTTAAAGCTGCTAGTAAGTAGCTAGTAATACTATTTTTAAAGTTTAATTTACTATTACCTTCTAACTTTTTTTTTACCTTTATATTTTCTAAAAATATTACTAACTTTATAGCTAGCCTTTTTTTTTTCCTAAGCCTTTTATATATTAGGATATTAAATATAACTAATAAAAAAAAGGAACTAAAATATAGGTAAATTTAATAATAAAAAATTATTTAGTAATATTATTATTATTATTATTATTAGGTTCTATTAGGCCGATTTAGCTCCTATTAGGGTTTATATAGCAGTACTATTTAGGTTTTATTTATAAGGGGAAACCGTTCGCTCTATAGTAGTTAGGTAAAAACCTTATTTTCTATAGTATATAACGCCTTACGTTTTTTTTATTTCTACGCGGCTATAGAAAATATATAGCAGCTCTATAAGTATTACTATAGAGTAAGCTATTTTAATATATTTTCTAGGATTAATCCGGTGTCTATAGGCCCTAGGTTTTAGGGTTATATAGTATCTAGATAGTTAGTAAGGTCTAAAGTCCGCGTTAAGGCGCGCGTGCTCTTACTATACGCGCGTGCCCTTTTTTCTTAAAAGCTAAAGTATTAAATTAAAGAATAATAGGAAATTAAAGGGTTACCCTATTATAGGCGTGTTTATAGCTATATAATATACGTATATATATATAGTTCTATTTTTAGGGCGTAGCTATATAAGTTAGCTAGCTATATAGCTAGCTTTTCCGTTGCTATCTTTTTAGCTATAAAAAGATAAAGTAGGAAAAGGTTTATTTAGTATAGAAACTATTATAAAACGGCCTTATTTCCTTTATAGTCTTTATATAGCTATATATACGTTTTTATTCTAGCCTTAAAAAATATATCGCCTCTACTATTATAGTATTATTCGCAGTATATTACTATATACTTTAGAAACTATAGTATATACCTATAAAAGCACGCAGGTAAAGGGTAATTAAGCACTTTTATATAGTACAGGTATATATTAAGCCCTATATATTCTATTTATAAAAGCGTAATAATTAAGCTTTCTACTTTTATAAGCTTATAGTATTTAGTTACCTAATTTTTATTCTATTTTATATTAAGGGCTAGTATAGAAAAGCCCCTTTATTTCTTTCTATAGGCCTTTTATTTATTTTTCTACTTTTCCTTATATACTTTCTATATTACTCCTTATTTTAAAAGCTTATAACGTATTTTACTACTAAGCCGGCTAAACTACTAAGCCGGCTACTTTTCCTTAGCATAACTAATACTATATGCGCGCAGTTAATTTATTTACAACTAGCTATAGAACTTATATATAATATACTTAGATTAGATTTAGAAGAAGCTTTTTAATCCTTTTTATATATACGCGTATTATACCTAGCCTTTCTATAGTTTCTATAGCACTATTAAGCTAGTAGAGCCCTATTTATACTATTTCTACTACCTATCTTTTTCCGTAGATTAGATGCTCTAGACACTTTAGCAGCTATATATAACGCTGCTATACTATACTTTATTATACTGCTAGTCTAGATTCGCTTTCTTTTATAACCTTTACGCTTAGTTATTTCTACTAGTTACTTTTTAAGCTTTTTAACCCGGGCTTTAATAAGTATATTTTCGTATAGTATTTCTTTAGCTCCTTTAATAAGCTTTAAAAAGCCTTTTTAGGCGGTTATTAGTAACTATATAAAGGAATTGCTTACTAGCCTTAACTATAATCTAAATTTATATATATTACTTAGGGTTTTTAATTACTATAGTATTTCTAGTAAAGGTGCTAGTAATAGGGTTTATAACTATATATTAAGGTAATTAAAAACTACCTGCGCGTTAATAGGAACTAATTTAGAGGCCTTAAAGGCCTTTTTACAGTTTTTATACGTAAATATATTAAAAAACGCGTTTTTAAAGGCTAGTAAAAAGCCTTTTTTATTAATATAGTAAACGCGTCGGCGTGCTAAGTTTTATATATATTAAGAGTACTTTAGCTTTAATAGCGAGAAGTATACTATATTAAGTAGCTAAAGTATATACGATAAATACGCAGGTATATAGAGGGTAAGGATTTATTATTTAATATAATAATCCTTAAAATCTTAGTTAAGGTAGCTTTTATAGCCGTCTAAAATTAGCAACCTATATAACCCTACCTAACGCGCCTTTATATACGTGTTAAAGTGCTTTAACTACTTAAAACTAAGCTTATTATTAGTCCAGCCGTTTTTAGAAATAGAAAGCTTCTAATTATATAGTATTTCTGCTTTTTTATACTATATAGAGATATAAACGCGTTCTTTATAGATAATAAATAGTAGGGTTATATATCCGGCAGCGCAGATGCTCTAGATAACTATAACCTACTTTTAGTTGCCTAGTTAAATAAAATTAGGCTTTATACGTTTTTCTAAACCTATAATAACCTTTATTATACTAATTATACCTATTTAAAAGCTAGTCTTGTTAAAGTTATAAATATTATCTAGGTAGACGCTATACTTAGCTATAGTCTCTTATATAAGAGTAAACCACGTGTTAATAACTTCTAGGTTTTCCTAGAGTATTCTCTAGCGGTTCTTTACCTAATTAAAAGCTATTTTAAGCTCCTTTATATAAGATATAAACTGTTAAGTCTAGTTTTTACCTACTAGTATTCTACTACACGCAGCTAGTACTTTATCTGCTATATCTGCTACCTTATATAACCGGGGCGCAAATCCTTATAAGTTTAGGTTAAGGATATATTATATAATTATATGCTCTTCGGTTATAGTAAGCTTTAGGCAGTTTAGTTATAATTAAGGTTAAAACGTAATTCTATAGAGCCGATTAGAGAGCCGCTAATATTATACGTTAAAGGCTGCTATAGCGCGTTATATAGTCCTAAATTAACTAAAAGTAAAAGCTTAAAGCGCGAGATTAATACTGCCTTCTTGCTAAAATAGATAATTACTGCGTTATTAATATATTACTGTGTAAATATAGTATTAGTTATACTAAGGAAAAATAGCCGGCTTAGTAGTTTAGCCGGCTTAGTAGTAGAATACGTTATAAGTTATTTAACTACCCTTTATACTTTAAGGTTAGTGCTATAGCCTTAACTATAAGCCTTTTTAGTATATTATACCGGCTTAGCTTATATTTAGGCGTTTTCCTAGGCTTATAGTATTTTCTAATAGTGTTTTTAATAGTGCGGTATATAGTTTTAATATACTTTCTAGCCTAGCCTGCGCGTGTATAGTTTATATATACTATTATAAGTTCCTTTAGCTTAAGCCTTAAAAAGGGGTAAAAGGTTTTATATTTAAGTATTTTAATATCTATTATTTTATACGCCCCTATAATAGTATAAAGGTAGTAGTTCTAGGCTATTTTAAGTTATTTAATTTTTACTTTACTAATTTATTCCTTTATACTTAGTATTAGAAACTAGGTAGTATACCTATATATAAAAACCGGCCTAATAACTGCTAAGTATATATACTATGCTTTTTAAAAGCTTACGCTTTATATTAATACTATTAGCCGTATAAGGGCTTCTATTTATACTATAGCCTTTTCCTTTATAATATATATATATAGGCCCTATTTAAGTTTAGAGTTTACCTAGACTTTAAGTATATAGAGCTCTATAATTAGGCCCTTTATAAAGCCTTAAATATTTACTATAGCCTTTATATTTACCGTATTTAAATAGCGCCTTATAAAGTATATAAAGTAATACTTATCCGGGGTAAATACTATACTATGCTTTTTCGCCCACTTTATATACTATATATACGCACTTTTAATTGCCTTATAGTTCTTTTCTATACTTTTACTAAATATAAAAATATTAGTATTATTTATAAACCTATAGGCTATTATATTACCTTTTTATAGTACTAGTAGAAGTATACTTATAAAAAATAAAAAAAAGATTAGTAAAAGTAAAATTTTTTATAGTATACCTATATTAACCGGAATAGTTTTAGTAATATATTTTCTAATAAAAAGTTTTATAGTTTAGTTTTATAGAAATAATTCTATAAATTAAACTATTTATTCCGGTATATATTAGACCTATAGGTTATATATTATTTTTTTATAAAATACTTTATTAAAGGCCTCTAAAATATCTAGGCTAAAAAAAAAGGTAATAAAGTAAAAGTTGCCCTTTTATATAGTTTATATTTATTCTATAAAAAGTTTTAGTACTATCTACGTAAATTATTCGGGCTTTACGCCTATTTAGCTTAGTAGGAGCATACTTTTCTTTTTTACTATTTTAAATAGTTTTTATACTATAATATATTTAAGTAGCTTACCTACTATTTCTAGCAGTATAATTAGCCTATATAACTTTACTATATTATAGAATACTTTCTAAGGCTTATATAGTACTACGGTAATT